TAAAGTTATGTGGTAAAATCATGTATATTTTCGGTTGAGGGGAAAAAACAAACTCAAATTTTTATTTCTCTCTTTCCTCCCGACCTTTGCCAATTGCCCTCTTCCTCAAATGATGAAAAATGAGCCTTTTTTTTCCTTCTGCTTTTCTGTTTATTTTAGTAATGATTCTACTTAATAATAATAATCGAAATATGTGAATGTATAATTGATTAAAAATTTTGTTGAGTTTGTAAAGTTTTCAAAATATCACTTTACCGATATTTTAAGACAATTTTAGATTCTCCTATCGATAATAGATTTGCAAATTTTTTACCAATTAGTTTTAGACACGTATAGCACGTCACAAGTACCCATTCCATGAAAAGTATGATTTATAAAAGTTTGCAAGGATAGTGTTATTTGTCATAATAATAAGAAGAGATAATGTCTTTGTCCCATGTTTATAAATTTTACGGTATTAGATTTTTGGATTTAAAACTTTTTTCAAATATCAAATTTGTCCTTATGGTATTTATATTTATTATCATTAATTTATTTAAATACAAAAGATTAATGTTTCAAATTTGATTTTGTAAACATTAAATTATTGTGGGACCTAAATGAATCATTTTCATAATCTTCTCATTTACTCTTTAACATATTTTACTCAAGAATGAAATTTATTACAAAATATTCAATTATTCTCATAGCCCCCAAATTTACTTTTTAATATATTCTAGTAGATAATGAAATTTATTACAAAATATTTTTTCATTTCGTTCCAATTTTTTTTTTGCCAAATTTCAGTACTATAGTCATTATAACATACACTTATATGGATAATATACATATACATATATATTTATTTATATGGAGATATAAACTATATATCTGGCTACCTTTTCATTTATATGGAAATATAAACTATATTCGGCTATAAACTTAAGCAACATACACTTAATAATGGTGATATAAACTATAGTCATTATAATATACACTTATATATTAATATAATTTATATTTGGTTATAAAGTATATACGGTTATATCTCTCTACAATTAACAAATAAAGAAATAACCTACAAACCTTTCGGTTGGCGACTAGACAATGGTCGGGATAATGGAGGGCCCGAATGGTCAACGGGCAACCGGGGACAAAAAAAAATCTTGTGATAAACGAACGTAAACAATGGATGGGCAGCCGGAGACAGCTAGACAGACTGTTCCGATGACGAAGAAGAACAGAGACAGCAGCTGGAGATGAAGGAATGTAGACGGTGGTCGGAGACGAAGGAATGAACGGAAACATAACTATTTTGGAGATTTGGTTAGTATTTTGGGATTTGGTATTTTTTACTTTTGGAAAGTCTAATTAGGCAAAATTTAACGGATTTAAAATGTAACCTATCAGGTATCCAATTTTGGATTTTAAAAATTAATTAATATTGAGGTGTAGATACAAAAAGATATACTAGTAAATTGGGTGATGGGTACTCTCTCAAATGGGTTCTTTCATGACAAAAGTATAAATTTTATAGCTTCAAATCCTTTTATGTAATTATAGTATTTAAATAGTCTATCAATATACTAATCCCCAAAAGTAGAATTACTACTTAAACATACATGGAACCACCAATACAAAATCCTATTTGACAAAGAAAATAATGTTGGATTGGTACACCTTTTTCATC